AAGGGACCTCCAAAGGCCATCTAGTCCGACCCCCCCGCAGTCAGCAGGGACACCCCCAACTAGACCAGGTTGCCCAGGGCCTCGTCGAGCCTCTCCTTGAATATCTCCAGGGAAGGAGCCTCAACCACCTCCCTGGGCAACCTGTTCCAGTGCTCCACCACCCTCACAGTGAAGAACCCTCTCCTCATCTCCAGTCTAAATCTGTTCCCCTCCAGCTTGAAGCCATTGCCCCTCGTCCTGTCACTGCAGGCCTTCCATCTAAACAGGTTCTCCCCACTGTCTGCAGTGCCAGCGCTGCCCGAAAACCAGTGGGGTGTGTGGCACCGACCCGAGCACCCCCTCATCATGGGGGCTCCACCAGCAGCTCCTCTGCGAACCCACCGCAGGCACCCATGGCAGGGAGAGAGCGGGGCAGCGCTGGCACGTGGCAGGGTGCAGGTGTTCCAGGAGGAGCAGCACAAGCAGGACGAGCTCCTGCAGCGGGCTACGGGCGGCCGGGGGGCCAGCAGCCATGGCTGCAAGTGGCCAAGACCTGGAGCTGCCCTGAGAGCAAACAGGAGGGAGCGGAGGGAGGCGGAGGGTGAGGGGAGCGGCGGGGACAGAAGGCAAACAGGGAAAGCAAACAGAATTAGGAGCAGTGAAAACAACGGGTCTCAACTCACTGTGCGAAGTGGGGCAGCGTCTGCCGTTGCACCCGAACCTGCTCAGCGTCATGTCGAAGTCAGAAATGACCTGGAAGGGGGAGAGGAGACCAAATCTGTGCCTGTCCCAGAGCACCCAGTCTGCGCCATAGCTCGGCGAGGGCTCCCCCAGCCCCGGGGGGGGTCTCCTGGAGGTGCAGACCCACACATTGGGGTGCCCCCCAATACTACTGCCGGCTGTGAACCGTGCCCTCATCTGAGACGGCCGGCACCCTCCCAGCCCAGCACTCTTATCAGCACCAAATGGCTTAATCCTGCTGACGTGTCGCCGTGGGTGGAGGGGGGGTTTGGGGATTGGCTCATATTTATAGTTTGCATAACAGGGAAGAAAAAGGCCCCTCCAGGGAGAGCCACCACCGGGCCTCGACCGGAAAAATAGATCCCATCCTCCTTCTCATCTCGGTCTTATAGAATCATAGAATGGTTTGGGTTGGAAGGGAGCTTTAAGGACCATCAAATCCAACCCCCTGCCCTGGGAGAGACACCTCCCACCAGCCCAGGTTGCCCAGAGCCCCATCCAACCTGGCCTTGAATGGGGCAGCCACAGCTTCTCAGGGCAACCTGGGCCAGTGTCTCACCACCCTCAGCGTGAAACATTTCTCCTTTCTGCTGGCCAGGCTGCTGGAGATGCAGCTGGAGGTGTGGGGGGCTTTCTGGGCCACCAGTGGGTGTTGCCAGCTCATATTATTGTACTTGACCTTGCAGAACCTCAGGAGGTTCACATAGACCCACCTCTCCAGCCTGTCCAGGAGACACCCTCCCTTTCAGCGTGGTGGCCACTCCACACAGCTCAGTGTCACCACCAAACTTGCTGAGGGTACCCTCCATCCCACCAACCACAAAGATGTTGAACAGCACCAGTCCCAGTACCGACCCCTGAGGGACTCCACTCATCACTGGTCTCCACCTGGACATGGAGCCCTTCACTGCAGCTCTTTGAGTGCGACCACGCAGCCCGTTCCTGATCCACTGAGTGGTCCATCCATAAAATCCACATCTCTCCAGTTCAGAGACAGGATTGCGGTGGGGGTCAGTGCCAAATCCCCCCGCACAAACGCATCGCACGGTACCTGCAGCTTCTTCACCCCCTGCTCCTTGATGGCCCGGATTATCCCCATCACACGCTCGGGCTGCTCCATACGGACCGTGGCTTTCTCCAGCTCGGGCACCTGCGGGGAGAC